AAACCAAATTTCTTTTCAATAGTTATTTTTAACAGATCCCAACTTGACCAGCTGCGTAACCGTTTTAAATTGACTCCGCTAAAGAAAATAAAAAGGCATTAGCGTCGAATATTTATTTTATGCGGATCAACGACTCGTGTTATTGTATTATTAGAATAAGTTCACGGAGTCGGTAGAGCGAGTTTCCGTCCCGAAAGTATCGATCGAAATTCGTCGAATCGGGTCCGGGCGGTACGAGTCATGGTGGTCATCACGCTCCATTTCTTGACCAATTGCTCTCGATGATCGGCTATGGCGTGCTCGGCGCCAAAAATAATTGCCAGACCTCTGCGATTGCAAGGCAGAAGGCGAAACGAGGGCGTTTCTTCTTCCCCGTCTCGTCCTCGTGTGTACGTTTCGCGACCGTGTTGCTTTCCCGGCGTGTTTCTTCTGTTTTTGTTCGTCGATTTGCATGCGAGTGCTCATGGAACGATGCAACAGCTACGCCCAATACGAGGTGAGAGTGCAAACCTTTTCCCTTTCCACGAAATTCCCTGATATTTTTCAGTAAATAAAAAAAATAGTTAAAAAGAATTTGATTTTTACCTACCGTTTATTCGTAACTTTTCGACAGGAGTAGAACATTCGAGAATTAAAATAAATACTACAAACGAGACCTCTGTGCAGCGATCAAGGTTTCACTGCACAAAAGAAAAAGAAAAAGGATTCGTTATCTGTTTGCGGTGATCGGGTTTCAAATTTAAATTACGTCGTCTCGAGTTACCGAGTATGGTTCTATGCTTTCGTAAATTCCTCGAAACGTCGGTTTCGTCGTCTAAATCCGGCCTGTCTCCCTTATCAAAATATTTATCGCCGGTGTCGTACGACGCCATTATTTTCGCGTCGCGCGCAACGACCGATTCTGCGGCGGCTCGTTGCGTCGTCGAAACGTCGACACGTAGGTCGAGATGACGACCATCATCCGCATTTCCTGCGCTCACTCTTCGCTATTAGCATCGTGGCCGTGAGCCAACCTTGTGATCTCCGCTCAAATTTCTCCGCGATGTCATTAACGCGTTGTACATTTTCGCCATCTTGTTTACAAACAACGCGAACCGCTTGTTCGCGATCGAATAATTAACCGTTCGCTGCGCGCGCCGCTCGGTCGGCCAGTCGAAAGGGAAAACACAAACCGGAAGCTCCCCTAACGAGTTTGTCGACAACGTTTCGTAACTGGATCTCCATTATTATTTCGGAGACCTTCGTCGCAATTTACGTTCTGTGATAATTTCGTAAATTCTTTAGCATTTGGAGATTTTATACGTAGACACGTTCAACGTAAAATTTATATGGTAATAATTACATTCAAATATAATTGATTAACTTCTGTTTTTAACTATTACTATATATATATTTAAATATGATTGTTTCGTATTGTGGTTTTGAATATACAAGGTGAATCGTAAAACGTGTCCCAGTCGGGCAAGCAGAACGGGGACACAAAAGCGGAGGAAGAGGTTCATATAATCGCGTGCCTTATTTGACCTTGTTTCGAAGTTACGGCCATTTTTGTACTCCGTCTTGACGCGAGTGCTTAAAATGGCCACCTTCGCGGCGGAGTTCGGTACGAGTCCCCTGTCTGGTATTCACCGGATATGGAATCGTTAATTTTTACAATACTTATCATCGGCACGAAGAAAATCCGCTGTTCTTCGATCGAGTCACGGGCAACAATTCAGTGTGAACGCGCACGGGGGCAGGGATAATTGGCAATAATGCAATCTGACCTGTTTTCCATTATTGGCGATCGGTTAGAAAACGTTGATCGACGAGACGCGTTTACAGAAACCGCGCGCGAAAGTTCCATCCGATTTTCGCGGGAATTTCGAGGGAACGTTTATGACAGCTAACCTCAAAAATATTCTTAGACGTAGTTCGCGAAAACATGGAGGCTATCAAAGGACCGGAAATTGTAACGACCGCCATCTTTAATGGGAGATCGTAAAAAGTGTTTACGCGTTCGCATGAAAGAAGAATTACGTTTAGAAAATCAAACCTAAGAGTTACGAAGTTTGAAAAAAAATAGTCTTGTAATAAATCCTACAATTAACACACGAAGAGACAGTGTTATTTATCCACGGTGCCTACGAACACGAGAACGCGGATCTATGAGTCCCGCATATACAGGGTGGGGCAGTTAAAACAGGTCGCCTGGACAACTCGTTTATTTTCAAAGATAAGAAAGAATGTTCCGGGCAGAAGTTGTTCGATCACATTGGTTCCAGATGGAAGCACCAAGAACATTTCAAGGTCATTATTTTTTTTCCTCTCTAGACAAAGATTCTATGGTTTAGTCGTAAGGCTACTCTGATTTTTTCTCCCGTTTAAGAAAATAAACTCGTCGTCGGGTGCAACCTGTAGAATTTAAGGTGCTTATAAATAGAACGGCCCACGTTGTTTCCATTCAAGGATGTTGCAGCGCTTACACGCTCCTCGTTGGACGTAATTCGCAGCTATTATAATAACAACATTGTAATAGCAGTAGTAACTCTAACGGGAGGGTTAATAATACGATTGTCCGTTGAATGGCCGGCATGAGTGACTGTTACAGCGACGAAGCAGCCCGATAATGTTAATCGCAGCGTCTTTCGTCCTCGTAGCTCGCGGTACGCGGCGATTCGACGATGGACGAGAGACACGTCCGACGATCTTTTCGTCGTTCGTTTCGCGCGTCCACGTCAAACGTCACAGCCGCGGCCATTCGTTTCGATTTATGAGCGACGCATCGTCCAGCAGCTGTTTCGACGGTTATTTTCGCAGGCGGATTAAATTAAACTCAATCGACTTTTCTTCCTCGTCTTTCTCTGCGCTGTACGGCCGGACGGGTGTTAACAACCACGTAATTCTATTCCGCGGTGCCAAAGCGTTCACCGGAGTATTAAGTGGAAAACAAGATTTACGAGCCGATACCAGATACGGACGATGATCAAATTTATACGCGAACCAGGGATTCGATCCACGAGACGACGGCCGCGAATTGTATTCAAATGACGTTCCGTGAACCCCCGTGACCCGAACGACCGTTGCGAAACAGCCTTTACGTTCGCAATTTTTTAACAAACCTTTCCACACAATTAAACTTCTATTCCTGGACGCGTCGTGAAGGCTCAACGTTGTACAAATTTTAGGTTATACGGTTTACGAACGGAACAAAGTTTAGGTTATGTAGTTCAGAAATTAAATAAAGGTTAGGTTATGTAGTTTACAGACGAGGCATATGTTAGGTTATGTAGTTTACTAATGAAACAAAGTTTAGGTTATGTAGTTTACAGACGAGACAAATTTTAGGTTATGCAGTTTACAAACGAATCAAGTTTTAGGTTACGTATGTAGTTTACAAATGAAGCAAGTGTTAGGTTATGTAGTTTACAGTTCCAATCTGTCAGTGAACACATTAAATTTCCTCTTTATTATTTCTTCCATTATACAGTTTACAAACGAATCAAATGTTAGGTTATGTATGTAGTTTACAAATGAAGCAAGTATTAGGTTATGTAGTTTACAGTTTCAACCTGTCAGTGAATACATTAAATTTTCCCTTTATTATTTCTTCCATCCATTTACGAATATTTACAAGTATTTATGTAACGGTTAATCGACATTAGATTTCATTCATAGATTTGTTTCGTTGTTTTGTGCGTTGATTCCATGTAAATTTCTCGTCCAATGAGACCGAAATTAATACGTAGTTGAAACTACGTAGTTAACGGAACCGAAATCAATACATATGTAGTTACAAGTACGTAATAATTCGTTTAGTTTTAGAAGCGTAGCGAGCGACCTCTGCCATCGTGTCGCGGAAACGCTCGGTTGCCAGACGTCTGGTCCTTCGAGACGACATCCGGTCGCCTTGGAAAAATCAGAACAATGGACCTAGTCCAGACCTCGCTTGCGACACTTACACACTCGGAAGCAATAAATTTTCCTCCGCCTCTACCAGTTCCATCGTCAAAATCACCCACAATAGCTCGACCAATGACGCACTTTCATCCCCGGTTTCGAGTCCGCCAATCGCGTTCGTTTAACGCTCCCGTAGGTCAATCTTGACCTCCATTGTATCCGTGGAATAACATTATAAAGTCGGATCATTGTTATATACGAATCGTAGAAAATTAAAAATTAGTGTTTTCCTTTAAGGAAGAATAATATTAAAACCACTCTGTAGATATTAATAATGTTAATACGATGAACTATTATCTCCTATCGACGACGGATGGGCGACGATAACTCACTTCTGGCGCCAGCGAAAATGCGAATAAGCGGCCCCGCTATGCAGCCGACGTTATAAACACGATATTTTAGGAATCTTCGTAATATGCAAGCCTGAAATATGAAACTGGAACCACCCCAGTAATTTCGTAAACGTCACTTAAATATCGTCCTAATTTTATTATGCTTCATTGTTGCTAGTGAAACTATAAAAATTAATATTGTTAAAAAACAGTTTATTATATTCCAATGAAAAATTACAAGAAATACATACAAATAAAACTATTCTACATACAAAATTTGAAATTATCTAACACAAAATTTTTTAAGAAAAATCGACAGGGGGTAGGTGGACAAATTTTTCGGCGAAAAAGAAAAATTTCAAATCGTCCTGAAAAAAATATTTTTGGTCGCAGGGGTCAATTCCAATTATTTTTGGAGAATACACATACCCTCGAAATCCTACGGATTTTCGAGAAAAAAATTCTGGAAGGTGGGCAAATTTTTCGGCGAAAAAAAAAAATTTCAAATCGTCCTGAAAAATATATTTTCGGTCGCGGGGATCAGTTACAATCATTTTTGGTCCTTGCACATACCCCCGGAATCCTCACCAGTTCCAAGAAAAAAATTCTTTACTGAAAATATAACGGGTGGCCAGAAATACCAAATTGATTCGATCGTCAATTCCCTCTTAGAACCGAATGAATCGAATACTATCTTACTAAACTTCTTTATTGGTCTTCTTGTTCCAGGCGAACAGCGAAAGTCGAGAGCCGGAAGAGCAGGGTAACAGTACGACCTCGCCCTCGGAGGGCAGGCACGCCGACGGGACATCCGGCTCGTCCGTCCTTGAGATGGGCAGCACAGATTCGGCGGGCAGCGCCCACAGCGGCGGTCCTTCCTGCGGCCTGGTCAGTTCCCTGTTCCCCAGCAGTTGCCGTGGACGCGCGGAGGCGTTCGCCAGACGTCTTCATCGGCGGCTGACGTCCCTGGGCGGCGAGGAAGCGTCCCAGCGGAACGCAGACTCCTCGAAGCCCAAGGAAACGTCGTGGCTGCGCTCGTCGTCGACCTCGAAACCGGTGACGAACAACGCGTCGATCAATCATGTTCTGCAGCACCAGCCGCGTCACAGCTCGGAGACGAATCTCTGTTACGATTTCGAGATCGATCTCGAGGACGGTCTCGGCTCGCCGGCCGAGGAGGCCACCGCGGCCGAGGTGGCGGATCTCCTGGTGAATCCGGGAATATTGAAGACCAACCATCACGACGCCTGCAACTGCACGCCGAACGGTTCCAAAGTGAGTCTGTCCAGCTTGGACATAGAGTCCGGTTGCCTGTTCGCGTCGCCCATGACGGGCACGTCGCCCGACAGCGACTCCAGCGACATCTACTTCGATCCTGAGTCCTCGGACGCGGAGAAGGCGAAGAACGAGGTCTACTTCGACCCGGTGACCACGTCGGACAGCGAAGTGACCACCTCGAATCTCTCGAACGGTTGCGAGGCGAAGGCCGACAAGGGTCTGGTGGCGCGCAGAAGGCCGGATATCAACGTGGAACATTCCGAGGACACGTCCGAGTCGAGCGCCTCGCTCAGAAGGAACAACATCGTGGACGGTGAGTCGAGGAAAGAGGAGTCGGTGTGCAACTCGGAGGACTCGTTGGAGACCACCTCGGCCAGCCACGAGTCCTTGTGGAGCACCTTCGACGAGAGCACCATGTCGCTGCAGGACGAGAGTCCCACCAGAATCAGTCCCAGTCTGACCGCCACGGTTCAGAATCGACTGCCCAAGTCGCACTCGGACTCCGAGATACCCGTACACGGGCCAAGACTGATGATCACTCGCGAGCTGACCAGGAGGGACGAGAAGATGGAGGGCGGTGTGGACGAGGTGGACTTCGTCAACGGGATCACGGAGAACGGCAACCTGGAGGACATAAAGAACGCGAGGAACCTGGCGAAAGAGGAGTCACCAGACTCGTCGGAGAGCACGAACGACGAGGAGCTGCCGCTGGACACGGAGGAACCCACCAACGACCCAAGTGCGCAACTCCCGATCAACATGGCCGCACTGAAGGTGGAGGAGACGGTCGAGTCGGAGGATAACTCGACGTACAGCAGCATGATCAACATCCCCGGCGCTCTGACGCTCGAGTGCCCGACGGGCGAGCGCGTGATGGAGTCGACGCTGAAGAACGAGGTGCAGCTGCAGATCGAGAACGGTACGGTGACCGGCGACGCCGAGGAGGACAAGATGTGCCTGCTGCTGCAGAAGATCGCCACCAGCCCGACGATCAGGGACGACGTGCTGAGCCACGAGTCGCGCGAGGACAGCGTCGAGGAGGAAGAGGAGGAGGAGAGGCCGCAGAAGGTGAGACGTTGCTCGTCCCTGAAGACCGGGAAGACACCGCCTGGCACGCCGGGGCGCAAGAAGATCGTTCGATTCGCGGACGTGCTGGGCCTGGACCTGGCAGACGTCAGAACGTTCCTGGACGAGATCCCCAAGGTACCGAACTCGGCGTACAGCGACCTGGTCTACGACGACATCTTCCACAAGGACTCCAGCCCCGTGAACAGCCTCCAGTCGTGGGGATTCCGTTACGGGGACAGCAGACGGGAATCGGGCTGCGCGTTTCCGCAGCCTCGAAAGGTGGACAAGACTCTGGTGCCTCTGTTCCAGCAGCCGGGCGGCCAGGTGAACTTCCTGGACCTGGTGCGCGAGCGTCGCGTCTGCCTGGAGAACGTGCTCGTCCAGGACCCCGTATCCTTCTACATCCAGGGCACCGTGCGCGTCATAAACCTCGACTTCCACAAATCGGTCCACATCAGATACACACTGAACTCGTGGCGAAACTTCAGCGACCTGCAGGCGACCTACGTGCCGAACTCGTGCGACGGTTTCAGCGACAAGTTCGCGTTCGCGTTGTACTGCCACACGCTGTCGGTTGGCCAGCGGCTGGAGTTCGCTGTTCGGTTCCAGTGCAAGGGCGAGCAGTACTGGGACAACAACGCCGGGGCCAATTACTGTTTCCAGTGCTTGCCTGCATCACCGACGGTCGGTTACTTACCGATCACCGCGTCCGAGAGCCAACGTCACGACTGGTCGCCGATGTTCTACTGATGGGGGGTGAGGGGACCCCGTTCGTCGGCGTTCGCGACCCGGTAGGCCGGGGTACGGCTTCGCGTAGAAGGCGCACGGAGTCCGAGGATGGCCCGAATATGGCTAACAAGCGACCGACGGAGACCACGGATCTAATAAACGTTCCTAAAGTGTACCTACTGTACAGAACTGTCCTACGGAGTCGATGGAACGAACCGGACGGATCGGAGAGACCGCGATCGGCCACGCATCGACGTCAATTATCCTTTCCTGCCATTTTTTCCCACCCCCCTCCGACCGGAGCGCCGCTGGTGGACTGTGGAGGAACTCGACGCGACCGTTAGACTGACAATTTTTTACACGTTTATCCGTTCCACGCTCGCGGGAGGACGCGTACGGAGGTGACTGCGTCTCGATGCCTGGAAAGTTCGGGAGCCCACGGTTCCGGAGGATTCAAAGAGAACCACGAGATATCCACCCACGCGTCTAGGACAGCGAGGAGAGATTATTATTTACACGTTCCTAGAAAGTACCTAATTTTAACGAGTCGAGGGAAAAACTTCGAGGCCCCGTCGAGAGTGCTGTAACCACGGAAGAGTTACGAACTGTTTGTGTATGGTACTGTGTTTAGGTGGCAACGTCGGAAGCTCCTTTTCCTTCGTGTTTTAATTGTTTTAACCGTTCACGATGATATCGCAAGATCGCCTCTGCGTGGAAACAATATTTTTTTATCCGTCGACAACGGTGCGACGACTTCGACGGTTTTTTCTTTTCTTTTTTTTCTTTTTACTCGAAGAAACAAGAAAACGACGTTTTTTTTTCCTTCGTTCGAAGTGGTTGTTGACCTGTGCCAATCCGATCCAGTGCCATTGCACGAGTTACGGCTATCGATGGAGACGCGTAACCGCACGTATGGTCGTAACCGTGGTTCGGGAGACGCGTTGACGGTTCGTGAAAGGGGGATATATTGCGTTCGCGATAATTCCGTTAATGAAATTCTGCGTCCCGTTCACGAATCGTGAGAAATCAGGGAATCGAGGCCTGATCGCTAAACATTGTTACTGTACAGATCCTTATTCGCCTATATATATCGTATCTATTATATCTTACATTAAGGCAGGGGTTGCCAGAGCTGCGACGAAATTCTCTAGCGACGCGAAACATTATCGAATCACGTTGCACGCGAGATTCCCTTTTATCGGACTCGACTATTTTTTTAAACTTTGTACATACACGATTTTCTGCATAACTTATTATTTTACTCTTTTACGTTGACTAGTTTTTTTTTTCTTTCCTGTCTAGGGACTATTTTATTCGCGATTCGATATGGTCTTTTTTTCTTTTTACTCGCTGCGTTGGTGCAAATAGGTGCACTTCGGGTAAACGTATCAGTGATATGCGAAGGAATCATTGTTGAGGATTTTTTAATCTTGTGTTCAATCAGTGAAATTTGTTACAATCGATTTTATAAATCAAACGATGCTACGCTTTGTCAAATGAATTTTTCCTAGTTATTATTTCGTTATTAATTTTATTCTCGTATTTTTAGATATTTCAACAAGTTGCACGGTGCTTTTAATTAGAAACAAATTAACACATTGGCTGCCGGCGGGTATTTAAAGCCAGCTGAATATTTAAAAAGTGAAAGAAGCGTCGATTTGGGTGATCGTTTTTGTCGCCGGTACGTTTACCCTGTGCCTATATTTAATCGATTATTTGCACGCGAGATGGCGACGAATCGAGGCCTTTTAGCAGCAGAGCATAAAGTCTCTCCCACATTTATGGTCTTTAACGCGTTCACTGTGGTAGATTTTAATAACGTTCACAACTGGATTACTATATACCGTAGAATATGCTCCACACATGGACCTTTATATGGTACATCACCAGTACTGGTTAAACACGTCTCACGCTGGGCCTCATGTGCCCCATATTGGATTTTTATATGCGGCTGGTCCAATATGCCTCATACTGGGCTTCCACCTATAAAATTAGCATATTGAACTTTCCACGTAGGTGGTCAAATATGTCCATCCCCATATTGCATTTTCATATCGAAGTCTCGAAGACCTGTCGGGCCTCCATTTTGAACACGACGGTGTTCGATGTCTGAAAATTTCGGAAAAACAGGCTCGAGTGACGTTTCAACACTTTGACTGCCCGCGTGAGCCGTACAAATTTTAGGTTATGTAGCTCACAACGGTCTGAAACGAAAATTTCAGTCTCGCAGAGAATTGTACGGTTTTCGTGTGGCAGTGAACGTGTTGAACGAGTCGTTGCAACGTGGAATGGAGGTGGAACGAAATATGTGGCCCACACACAATGAAACACAGGGAAAATGGTCTCGAGTGACGTTTCAACGCTTTAACTGCCCGCGTGAACCGTACAAATTTTAGGTTATGTGGCTCACAACGGTCTGAAACGCAAATTTTAGTCTTGCTGAGAATTGTACGGTTTTCGTGTGGCAGTGAACGTGTTGAACGAGTCGTTGGAACGTGAAACGAAATGTGTGGGCCACACGGAACGAGGTACAGGGAAAATGCGTGCCCCGGTGCCGCAGTGAACGTGTTAAATCGTAGCTAGAAGGGGTCACAGCGTCGAGGGAACGTGTCAGGTTCGTTTCCACGCCGGGAACCGTCGTGTTTCCGAGGCGCGGTAAAAATTTCGCGCACGTTTCTGCGCAGCTCTCCGCGCGAAGAATGAGTGACGAATGAATTGCTCGCGCGACGGTACGCGAGAGGGTAATAATAATGTTGTCAGTTGCGATCCAGCCTGGGGATTGATCGAGGTCTAGCGGACTCGGGAACGGTACATTCGCGACGTTTTGGCAGACCTGCGTTGTCCAATATGGCGGCCCCATGGCCCCCCCAAGTTAGTAACCGTACCGATACGAGGAAATATTTTTAACGCGTGAATCGTTTCTTTGCATCGATGGACGGGTTCCCTAACCTATTCGTTACTTGGCTCGATCAGCAATTAATTCCAACAATAACGCATCTTTATCGCGTACATTAAGAAATTCAGAATCGAGAACGAGTATACGTTGTCAGCCTTGACTAATAATATGAATGTAAAATTAAAACGACCGGCAGACGTGTTATTAAAGGACGAAATAGCGGAATAGTCACGAACTGGCGATAACTCAAGATAGTCAGAGGGTCTTTAATAGAAAGGAGTGTGTTGGCCCAGGCAAATATAACTTTCGTACATTTGGCCGTGTAACGTGATTATTTTGTGTTTCGTTCCCTGCTACATTATTTCGTGCCATATTTTGAGAACTCCCTGCATCGATGCATTAACACAGTTAACGTTTCACGCGTATATTCGAGGACTTTTACGTTTGATTCGACCCAATTGATCCTAGTCACGTCAAATCGAGAATTTGCCTTCGTGAATCTAAGTTCGTCGAATATAAAAAATAGAATTTGTTCGAGTCAGTCCCAGATCTCGACGTCCAGCGTTGTCTCGCGCCGACGACAGACGCGCAACAACCACGAACCAGTTATAATTTTAACGCTCGGCGAAACGATCGAAACGCGACGGTTGCACGGCGCCACCGATCGAAATTACAAGATGGCGGATCGCGACACGATTATTTTTGGCAACCCTCGACGATTCGTAATTGTGATCGTTGCCCCGAAACGTTCGAGTTTCAATTAGCTGTTCGGCGATAAATGATATTAAAAAGTTTATTGTTAAGACCACCACTACCAAGAACGATATCCTCATATTTTTTAATAGTTATCTTCAAGATGTGCTTTCCACACCGAACGAAGAAACCTATTCTATACAGATCTATTGTACATAGGCGGCGACAGTATTGGCGTCGAGGGACGGGCAAAATTCTTAACACTAATTTCGAATAACGTGTCAAAGAAACTATAAACAATATAACAAACACGTTATCTCGTGAATAAAGTTTCAAATCAGAAAACGATTTCACAACGAACTAATTTGCTACGGGTCTTTTTATCGTTCGAATAATATATTTTGCTCGTCTCTGGTGACAGGCGTGTCTCGAGTGAAAACATAATCGATGGAAAAACTATTGTTTGAAATATATACAGGGTGTTCGGCCAACCCTGGGAAAAATTTTAATGGGAGATTTTAGAGGGCAATATAAGACGAAAATCAACAATATAAAAATATTGAGGCTTCGTTAAAAAGTTAATAATAATTAAATTCAAAAATTTCAAATCGTTTTGAAAAAATTAAGTTCCGTCCTTTCTGAATTTTTTTCTCGAAAATGCGCAAGATTTCGGGGGTATGACTATTCACCAAAAATGATTGTAATTGACCCCCGCGACCGAAAATAATTTTTCCAAAACTATTTGAAATTTTTTTTTCCGTCGAAAAATTTCACATAATCTCGAATTTTTTTCTCGAGAATGGGTAGGATATCGGGGGTATGTGTAAGGACCAAAAACGATGGTAATCGACCCCCGCAACCGAAAATAATTTTTTCAAAACCATTTGAAATTTTTTTTCTCCGTCGAAAAATTTCGCACCTTCTCGATTTTTTTTCTAGAAAATGGGTAGGATTTCGGGGGTATGTCTAAGGACCAAAAATGATTGTAATCGACCCCCTTGACCGAAAATAATTTTTCCAGAACGATTTGAAATTTTCGAATTTAATTGTTAATAACTTTTTAACGAAGCCTCCATCAACAAATTAATATTCTTGATTTTCGTCTTATTTTCGCCTCTAGAATCCTCCATTAAAATTTTTCCCAGGGTTGGCCGGACACCCTGTATATAGTATATACATATAAATATATATATACGTATAAAACAACGCGAATTTCTATTCTGATTAACGACAGAGATATTCTTCCACATGTTGAAAATGAAGTTTATTGAGATTTATCGAATACAAGGATCAAGATATTTTAATTATGTTACGGAAGCTCCAGTCCATTGTTAAAATACACGGGGTGTTCGACTAACCACGTCCCAAGCACATTTTCATCTTCGTAATTTATTGCACGAAGGAGACTGAAATTTTGAAACTCGTCCCGCGTGTAAGACTCCCTCGTGCAATAAAGTCTCTAAACGCGAAGTTAGCGGGACACCCTGTATACGCAGCTTCTGAAAACTAAAGACTTCTGGAATATAAACACCATGTATATTACCCACGATTGTTAATAACTTATGAAACGTTGCGCAGAACATTTTGTTGGGAAACTCGCGGGAAAATTTGTATAAATATAGGTCCTGTTTCGTGTGCTTGGTGAAAACGTGATCTTGTAAATTATTTATTGTTGCAATTTATTGTCTCTGAATTAAACACGTTTGTGGCAATTTTATTTAATCTAACGTGCATGCTTTTAACTCTGTACCAATTAACTGTGCTATATAGACCGATTGATTGTTCTAAATAATGCGTTTTGCATTATGGAACAGGTCTATATAGATCGTACAGAGTTTATTTGCATAAACGTAAACTGAAAAATTGCTGCGACAGGAACGTGTTAATAATTTTTTAATACGACTATTCGTAACGTTTACATGCACGTTGGATCAGAGAATATATTCCAGTGTGTAATCTCAGCGAAGAAACTATAGTTACAATATAGTTTTTTAAACTTAAGGACTGCAGGAATAGTCTAGAGACTACACACTGAAATTTATTCTCTGATTCTAAAATGCAATTAGTGCAAGGATTGCTTCGTATCGAGTCTCTAATCCAAGAACTAGAAATTGCACCTATATTCGTACATATTGTTTCCCAAAAATGGCCTCTGAAAGTTTCTCAGTCTACCGGCGCTTTGACTGCCAGACGAAATGTTTATTATACTCAGGCAAAATATAGTTGTACATCGAAGTATGTTCTTACCAGTTTTTGAATAATTATGCCCAAGAAACGCAGAATATTTTTTTATATATAACTGTTAAAAAAGCAATCGTCGCGGTCGAAGCGTCGTATTTAAATGTTCTGTGCAACGCGGGAGATTCAAATCGACAAAGAACGTTCGAAAACTCCATTATCGTTGATGCACAACCTTTGGAAATTGTGATGCAATAAGATTACTCGTCGAACGGAACAATATCACAAAGTATCGAGAATACGAATTTATGGCACTTAGAGCAGGAGATGGGCATTATTCTCTCGTCTGGATAACAATTTTAAATAACAGATAAAATTACGAAAATAAATATTACTATTTTTACGGTCGTTAAATTACATCTGTAATAATAGAAAACAGAAATAGTTTCACAAATGTGAAATATATAATGCATACACAAATTTCTAAAATGGTAGGACGTATCGTTCTTCCGGAAGGAAGAGGAACAAATCACGTATTTTTTTGTTCAATTAAATAGGTTGCACAGGCAAAAATGGATTAATAGTAGAAAGTAACCTAAAACATGCTGTTAACGGGTGCGTGGCCTTAACGATTGTCAACCTGTTTCTGTCCGGAAAAATTGAACTTTTCTAGTCACAGATATATACAAGGTGTTCGGTGAACCCTGGGAAAAATTTTAATGGGAGATTCTAGAGGCCAAAATAAGACGAAAATCAAGAATAACAATTTCTTCACTGAGGCTTCGTTAAAAAGTTATCAACGTTCAAAGTTGCGCCTGTGAGACGGCAACCAGCGCACAGCTGCTGCGCAGGCGCAACTGTAAACGTTAATAACTCTTTAACGAAGCCTCCATCGACAAACTAGTATTCTTGATTTTCGTCTTATTTTGGCCTCTAGAATCTCTCATTAAAATTTTTCCCAGTTCAAATTTCTATCACTCTACGACGAACAATAATTAAGTGTAATTTATTTAAAATAAACGTTCTGATTTGTTATCTAGTATTTGCAGAGAAATGTGCCCGTCTCTAGCGTGTGCGATCCAAGGACGAATTATTTCTCTCGATTTTCGTTCGCGTTCCATGAATCATTATACCGTCATTTCGTGCGCGAAATTCTCTCGGAGAGCGGTGAAACGTAAATTCACACGAAGCGTCGCGCCCTTATTAGCAAGACTATTGAATCGACGATAAAAATCGCAGACTCGCGAGCGGCTCGAAACGAAGTTTCACAGGGGTCACGGAACCCCGTAAAAAAAAGTGCAATTTTTTGCGACAGCTTCGACCTTCGAGAGAACGTCGCGTCGCCGAGGAACAGACAACAGATGGTCTCGAACGTAGAAATATTTTTTTCGCGGCTAGTTCCGTCGCGGAAATCTATTTTGTAAATTTTTGGCGGGAATTGTTGTATATTCGAAGTTGGAATCATTCTCTGCGAGCAATAATGTTATATCAAATTTATTTAAAAGGAAGCAGCAATAAATGGGAGGTAAACGTCACGGAAACGAATGTTGGAACGTAACGTGATATATTAAAGTTTACGAAAATCGTGTTCCTGTTGTTATATGAATATTTTACTCACGCAGTTTACATCGATCATGAATTTTCTTGGACGAAGGTTCGTCCGTAAATTTATTTTTTATACATTGTTGTAACGAAACGTTGAAGAATGTTTCTTTTTTTTTTTTTAATTTTGTTATTCGTTGTAACGTTGAGATTTATATTTTTCTAGTTTCCTTTTTCTGATCGAATCTAACATTAGGAGCCATCTAGTCTTTCAGATATATTATTTAAGGGTTAAACGGTGCGTCGAATGGCGCGCCCTCGTTCGTGCAAAGATTGGAAAACGTTTCTACGTTCGGGACGAGAAATTCTAACGAAGACCACGAAACGTAACCGGTAGTATATTTTTATAATAATAAAACGTACACGTAAGCATACGTCGCACCCTCTAGTCCGTAGAGCCGTGAGCTTTCGTCCAATTACCGAGCCTTTTGCAGTTTCAAACGTGAACTGACGCAAACGAATCCGAGATCCATCGTCGATGAGAAATCATTTAGCCAAACGAGCAAAAGAAACACGAAAGGAAGACTGTGCGCGAGCGCGTATGTGTGTTTTGTGCCGAGTAAAAGATCGAAAAGAGTCTGCAACTGTGTGTTGTCAAATTCGAAACGTTATCATTATTTTTATTCTGTAATTTTACCTATTCTTGTTTCTTTTAGAACGAGGAGAAATTTTGCGTTTCGTTTTATTTCGGCTGTGAAACAAATGGGTGAATGGGAAATTTTTGCTACTAGTTTACTATTGTTTGTTTTCGATTTGTTCTATCAATCATAAGTTCTTTTACGAGTCGAGCAATTTATCGAGAAACAATAGTTTCTTCGCTCTTTGTTACGTCGCGAGGGTCGAGGCGGAGCCAGAAACGAGCGAAACCTAACCTCCAAACGAGCTAACCTATTCGCCCGTTTTTGGTTCCAGACCGAGCGACAAAGTCTCGCCGTGAAGTTGTTCAATTTCGTCGTGTTTGCTTTTAAATCATAGACTCGTTCGGAATTTGTTGAAAGTTTTAAACATATTTTGGGAAAGTTTTAACAGTGTCTATTCTGCAAACGTTACTTTTACACCTTAAATAGATTATTATCGCGCGGGTGGCCGCTCAATTCGTTTCCGTTCGACTTATTATGTATTTCTGAACGAGAATCGCTTTATGTTACGTTCTTCCCAGACACGAAACAAAATACTCATAAAAAGAAACGTTTCGAGCTCACAGTCTCCGAACGAACCCGAGCCATTTCGGGGCGTTTCGTTCCTGTAGCTGATCGTTAAACGAAAGACTATAAAACCGAAAGTGCAACGTTCAATTTCGCAAACGAAACACCGAACGTCGCTTGATCACGAGATAATCACAGTGTTCGATTCTATACTATTCTATACTATTCATTCTATTAATCGGTCAGAGGCCACGGTACGATAATTTCTTTTACATTTATACACGGGGCTCTTTTGTACGAACCTAAAGAAAAAAAAAATAGTATTCCCGGAATAGTTTTTATTAAAATTCGAACGTTTGATCGTGCACACTTATTTATACACATGTTATTCGCGATAGAAAAATACGGTCTCGTTAAATTTCGCCACCGTGGACTTCATCTTTCGATTAAAAAAGAGACACAAAGAACCACTCGTCTACAATTTTGTTTCGATATTTTACAATACTCCTCGAAACTGCGTATGAAATATATTTTTTTATACAAGTTTCTTGCGTCGTTGTTTTACTATTTAATCATTTTATCGAAGTTGCACTGCTCGACCGCGATCGTTCGAACGCCAATTCTGGTGAGATTTCACATAACCTAAAACCACTAGTGTCATTCTCATCCGCGTCAATCGTGGGTTGTCTCTTCCTATCTGAGAAATCGGGGAACACGATTAGATAAATCGAATTGGCCTTCGAACGGAATTTCGAGTCCACGAGAGTGAGCAATGTCGCTTCAGACTGACAGAACGATCAGACTTTCGCTTATTTTCGCTAAACGGAACGGCGAACAGGTTGTAGTTCGATTAATCGTTTCCTTTTTTTTCTTCCACCAAGCCCCCCCCACCCCACCAAGCCCCCCTTTATTCTTTGTCCCGTTAAGTGTCAATCGTTGGCGAGACTATTTTTAATCTCACTGTTTGTTTGGATGTTTTTTTTTTTTTTTGTAGCTAGGTAAGGTTTCGCGTTTATTGTTACAGGATCGCGTATGGCGTGGGTGATAGCGTTAAGACTATTGGGAGACATGTTTGCATTAGCGTGGAGCGAATGATGATGGAGGAATGAAGTATCTATACGTATAAATAAACGTATATATAATATATCTGTAACTCATGTTCTATATGTTATTAAGACAATAAATGGAAGACCGATCGACAGTTCCCTTTTCTATCCTCGTGGAATAAAAATATCGAGAGTAACGATTATCAACGTGCATATATACATTAATTTTCGAAATTATTATTCAAGCTCGTATTATTCGAAAGTATAATAATTCGGTCACTATTATCGGGTGGTCGTGATACGATAATCAGGGGTCACTTTAAACCTTAAGTTTATCGTTCGATTCGATGGAACAAAGTGTACTTGGCGATTTTATAAATCACACGGTATCGACAATGTTTTCCTCTCGACATAAACTTTGTGTTATCATTTCCAATCGTTAAGAATTATTTTCTGTATTGTTTCTAAAACCCACCGATTCGAGAGTCAAAGTTATTTTTTTGTTCTTGATCTTTTTTATTTACAATTTAGTTGCTGACGCACTGTTTATTGTTGCTACGATTATCTGCACGATCAAGGATCAAATGATCTAGCGGCTGAAAATAATTGAATCGTACTTTCCGATAGGCCAAGATTCCTCGTGTATTTTTAGAGGACTTTTAACCGTGCCAGAACTCGTGGTATCGTGTTTGCCATTGTTTTGCATTGCACAAGCGTCGCCACGCTTGGAAACTTTTTATTTTCAATGCCTTCGTTATCTATAGTCACGATAAAGTATTAACCTTATTGCATCTGTGATCCGATGTTTTTCTTCGCTCTGTTACCGAGTATTATTTAGCGTTATTAAGCCGCTTGCATTCAGGTGTGCAATCTTGTTGTAACACCTGCAATCGGTCGTCACTCCGTTCAAACTAATTTGCATCAGCTTGTGTGCTTCAGAAGTTTATGACGATGTTCGTTCAAATAGTTTAGAAGAGGAATACTATTAGAATAGAATTATGAAACAGTAATATCGAGTTTATAGGTTAGAAAAATCTAAAGAAACATAGAAGTATTCTATAATTCAATCGTGTACCAATTATTTTGCAGTATTCCTAATTAAAACAATATAAATAGAAAGGAAATAAAGATGGAGGGATTCGTCCAGACAAGGTCGTCTTGATCGCTTTGGTTTAAAATTTTAAAGCCAAAAAATAATGTCAAGAATCACCGAATTCTTTTCGCGATAAACAAATTTTCACTCGTTTTAATTTTGTTTAAAAGCTAATAGCGTCAAGACGACCCCGCGTAGCTCAGAAAAGAAACACTAGTCGTTCGAAATGGCAGCTGTTTATTACGAAAAAGAAGGGAAACAAGTGGACATTAAAAAACGGCTTAACGCGATGTTTAGAAAAAAAAAAGAAAAAAAAAAAAAAAATGAAACGACTAAGTCGTTTGGAAAGCAGTACCCTACGGTTACCCTGTGTGTGTTTGTCGCGACGCGATTGGTTAAGTACCCCGTCGATAAAAAAGCAGTGTCTGCGTCTCTCTGGTCAGTCTGCGGAGCATATTTGAATCGCCCGCCCAGCGACGATAATCCAAATACAGCAATCCCCCCTATAACACGGTACTCTCATAACGCAATTTCATGTCTCTCGTATAACACGTGTTTTCCCCCATACAACGCGGGGATTTGAAATTTCTAATGATTTGCACATTGTGTCAATTGTGTTCTTATAAAATCGAATGAAATTATTTTATTAAATTTGTGTTCCTAGTTTTTGAATTGCAAGAACATTGATTGTACATATATCCGTGGCGCCACCGTCGCGGAGTCGGAAGCTGGAGCTACGGTCGCGCCCTCTACAACGTGTTTTCCTACAACGCTGAACGAATCTACCGTGTTATAGGAGGGGATTACTGTACACTGCTCCTAGTCGTGTCCAGGGACACGTCGACGCGTTTCACGCGACGAAACGGTGGCTTTACAAATATCGATATAAATAAATACAGCTAATGCCTCGCATCGTGGATGTTCGCGGGTCTGATAAATTTCCCAGCGAACGTGTCGCTGTCTTTTTAAATTACACGATAATATTAATATATATATATATATATAGGATAAACGATCACAAAATAAAGACGGCACTGCGAGTGTCCCATTCGAGTTCGAATCACTGACTCTTGCAAGACTTCATGGTTATCGCTCGATCCTCTCTCGTGTTTGTCGATCGTTTTCCACGATCTTCGTATGCGTGATTCTTTTCTTAAGGCCAACGATTCGCGAACGTCACCACGCTTTCTCGACGAACCTATTTTTTTCTTTTTTTTTGCTTAATATTGCTTCCCTTTCCAAAGTTTTTTTTTCTTTTTTCTTCGATTTTATAAAGCGTTGCTCTCCAACGGCGGTGTGTTCTTCGTTAACTTCAGGGCTCTTAGTTGCTTGTACAACCGTTGCTTGCAGAATTGGTAGAACTCGATCTCACGCGTGAAGTTGCTGCGCACCATGTCTTTCACTTCCTCGGTAACTGGCGGCTTGAAGAAGTTCCGGTTGATTCTCTTGAACGAGTTCACTTCGTCTGGAAAGAACCAGAAACCGTTCGATTTAGCTGCCACAGATAAATTAGGTAGTATAAAGACAGTTTTACGTGAAATTATAGGTTATGTTATCGGTTTCGTGGTTGTTGTTAGATACAAATCGGTAACGCGGTTGATAATTAATCGCAGAACAGGCGAACAGCTCTCTTTACGTTCGTTACGCGACGCACGAAAATGTTTTGTGTGCAAAGCATTGTTTTAAACATAATTACACGTTCGCGACGCGAACAGTTAGGTACAAACTACCGAACAAAGGAATTACCATAGTAGACGTCGGTGGCGCCTTGGAAAAATCGTGGTATGTAATTCTCCAACACCGTGAGAGTGGTGTTCACATCCTCGAGTACCCCGACCACGGCGTAGTGCTTCTCCACAGCCAATTTCGCCCGTTCCAGGGCACCCACAGTGTTGAACGGGCTTCGATAAAGATAAACAACCATTAAATACGATATACAAAATTTTCTAACGCTGAATTATTTGCTCGAGTACGATCAGAATTATTCAACCAAGATTGCAACGTAATATTTCTATCGATAAATGCGTGGCGGTTTCGAACGGTTGGGTCGAGCATTCGTGAAAGAGCGTAGCCCCCTGGCGGCGAGCACAGCAATTACTTGGACAGCAATTTATGGTAAGAACGGATCACGCAATACAACGCGTGGAAATATGTTTTTTGGGAGTCGAATAATTCTGATCGTTGATACTTATTACGTTTCCGGCGTACGGTTTGTCCAGTCGGTGAAACTCACGTGCATTTCTCGCTGTGCCCGCAGAAGAACAGCGTCTGCCTGCGATGATCGCCGATCCCCTCGTGAATCTCGCCCTCCAGGTATCTGCATTCGCGGTCCGCCTTAAGTACACAGGTCTCGAAGTCCTTCTTCAGCCAGTTGGGATCCGGCAGAGGTAGGTCTGGAAATATTTGCTTTCTCTCGACGTAATACCATGGTGCACGGACGTAATAGTACCAGGATATCACTCTCTCGATGGGATCCCGTACTATATTGATGTAAATTGGCTGCGGCAAGTTGAATCTGCCGGAGAAAAACGCCCACTGTCAGACACTCCTTCCGAGATGAACGTCGAAATCGTTGATCTCAAAAATTTCCTCACGGCGCCCAGGGTGCTTATTCGTAAAGTCACGGATCGAAATATTTCGAAAAAAACGCTTCAAGTTTAGACTTTTTTTCTAGAAAAAGGGTAGGAATTTGGGGGTTAGGTCTATTCACCAAAAATGCTTGCAATTGACCCCTCCAACTAAATACAATTTTTTTAGTACGATTTAAAATTTTTTAATTTTATCTACTTTGTCCACCTGCTCGAATTTTTTTCTCGAAAGTGCGTAGGATTTCGGGGTTAGGTCTGTTCATAAAAAATGCTTGCAATTGACCCCTCCAATTAAATACAATTTTTTTAGTACGATTTAAAATTTTTTAATTTTGTCTACTTTGTCCACCTACTCGAATTTTTTTCTCGAAACTGCGTAGGATTTCGGGGTTAGGTCTGTTCATCAAAAATGCTTGCAATTGACCCCTCCAACTAAATACAATTTTTTTAGTACGATTTAAAATTTTTTAATTTTGTCTACTTTGTCCACCTGCTCGAATTTTTTTCTCGAAAGTGCGTAGGATTTCGGGGTTAGGTCTGTTCATCAAAAATGCTTGCAATTGACCCCTCTAACTAAATACAATTTTTTTATTATGATTTAAAATTTTTTAATGCATGCTTCACGGATCGAAATATTTCGAGAGAAACGCTTCAAGTTTAGACTTTTTTTTTCCCCCCAAAATTCGTGATACTCACTCTGTGAAGTTGGTGAAGCATACGTGCTTCACGTAGACCGATGGTTCTGAGTAACTGCTGACCATTCTAGCAAGCTGGAGCTGGGAACAGTAAGAAAAATTTCCATTACTTGATATTTTTATTTATTATGCGATCTAATGGTTTCTCATGGGTGTTAAATTGATTTAGAGAGTGATGAATGCGTTAATACGTTTCATAATTTCATGTTGCATTCTGCAGTACCTGTTCGATCGGCGCGATGCGTATAGTCTCGACTCTCTGCACGCGATCCCGGTTGAACGAGAAACCATTCCTCATCGACAGCCTCCTCAGCAGCTCCATGAAGGTCTGCGAGCCCACTTTGGGCACCCGGTTGAAAAACAAAACCTCCCTGCCTGCTCTCTTCGTGTTGTTCAGCGCGACGATGTCCAGCACTTCCGGTACGTCGTACTGAAACCAAATAAAAATTAATTGTCTCGTTCGATTTACCGAAGGCTTTTTTTGAACATTAATTTAAATCGTCGAACCTCGTTCCTAGTTTGTAGCACTCGAACGATAGGAAAATGATAATGGGGTTTAATGGTAGGTACTTAGGATTCCAAGTTCCTTTTTAAATGATTCGGTTCGCGAACGAGCGCAATTACGAGTACCCATTCCGATAAACAGGACAGCAAAACGGAAAGTAGCCACGACCTTAATCGTTTCTTTTTTTTTTTATCGTCGTGCACCGCCTTTCGATTCAATTTTCGTTTTCTGTCGTGCTCGTCCCATTCCCTCTCGTTGGTTAACCGTCTACCGGATGAGTCATTCGAAAGAAAACATTCTCCGTTTCCTGATTGCTTCCTGCACCCATCGTACAAATAATCGAAGCGAATTTTCTTGTAATAATCGTCAAATGTATCGTTTATTTATTCAATTCTGTGAAAATTCCACGAAACACGACTTAAATTCAACCATTCGAGGTCGACGGCCAGAAAACTGGCGCGGATTCGGAATCCAAGATGGCGGCGCTCGGAGGCCATCCGAGGCGACGTGAAACGATTTTTTAAGCCCTCCAGCGACGATTTCCCGTAAAAATGGACGCTCGTGATTGTTGCACGGTGACTTTTCCGACTTTTTAGAAACGTTAATCCCATTTTAATACCGGGAGGTTGGACTTAGGACATTTTTATTTTTATTTTTATTTTCATTTTTATGATTCTTCCTGTCCACCGTTCGTGGGGCTTAGGCAACACGGTACAAGTACGTTTCATTATTGCATTATTACTACACGCGTTTGCACGCTTCCTCCTCGATTACGGATTCCCCCGCCCGTTTCCTACCCGTATTTCTTCCTTGAATTCTTCGCGAAGTTACGGTTCATCCTTCTGCTCGCTGCCCACGGTATTAAAGGTTTGCGACGTAATTTGCTTCGCGGTTATCTGCGTAATACCGAACGTTACGTGGAAAATCCGTCTACCCCTGCTCGTTTCCCGATAACCGTGACTGGCGACGGGTTCGAGCTGCTCGCGAGCAACGTTCAAATCCGACAGCCCCAAAGAACTTAATCCTAGCGTTTAATCTGATTTCCAAAACGAACTGAACATTTACAATAACCTGATTGTACTTAAAATTAAATTTACAAACATTTTGAACGGCTGGAAAAAATGAGAAAAGAAAGAAAAGTTGGAATTCGTATTTATTTATTTAAATCGTCGCCATGGGTGAGAAATTTTTGATGGTTTTAGGAACAGTGAATACAATTTTAAAAATATAAAGTTTAGTCTTGTATCAGTTGCAGCCATCGATGGAACATAGTATTTTAGTTAAAATGTTCGCGTAGCACTTCGTCGTTACTTGTAAGAAGTAATTACGATAATAAAAAGCTTGGCGCGTTCTCGATCCTCTGTTTATAGTAATAATAGAACCACGAAATTACCGTTCACAAGCTTCTCGCCACTTCTTTTTCCACAGTCTACTTCCTAAATGGCATCCGTGATAATTAATTTCTTCTTTCGTTTCACACTACTACAGTTACCTAATTAAAATCGAGAACGCGCTATCTGTTGCCGTGATTTAACTTCGTTTTTTTTTCCTCCTGCAATAAAGATCGCCGACAAGGTTTTCCGAGCAGATTGAAAAACTCTTAAACGATACACGTGTTGCCATAATTCTACTGTTTTTCGTTATACAGCGTCTACAGTCAACCCTGGGGAAAATTTTAATGGGAGATTCTAGAGGCCAAAATAAGACGAAAATCAAGAATATTAATTTGTTGATGGAGCCTTCCTTAAAAAGTTATTAACATTTAAACTTCCGCCTGTTCTGAATTTTTTTCTAGAAAGGGGGTAGGATTTCGGGGGTAGGTCTATTCACCAAAAATGCTTGCAATTCCCCCCTGTAACTAAATATAATTTTTTTATTATGATTTGAAATTTTTTAATTTTGTCGACTTTGTCCACCTACTCGAATTTTTTTCTCAAAAGAGGGTAGGATTTCGGGGGTAGGTCTATTCACCAAAAATTATTGTAATTGAGCCCCGCAAACAAAAATAATTTTTCCAGAATGATTTAAAACTTTTTAATTTTGTCGAAAATTTCAGTATCTACTTGAATTTTTTTTTCGAAACTGAGTAGGATTTCGGGGGTATGTCTACTCAGCAAAAATGGTTGTATTTGACACCAGAACCTAGAAATAATTTTTTCAGAACGATTTGAAATTTTTTTTTTCGTCGAAAAATTTTAGCACAGCTACCCGTCGATTTTTCTTAGAAATTAGTTTTTGATTTTCAGAAATTTTGTTTGATGCCCAATAAAAAAGTTGTCTAATACTTTTTTGTAAGTACCCATGAGCTCTACTTCAGAAAAAAGTTTCATTGAAATATATTCACTATTGTAGGAGTTGTGGCTGTTTGAAAATTGGACCTGTTATATGGGGTTTTTCTCATTTTACGGGGACAAAGATCAACTTTTCGATTATTTTTAGAATTTCTACATATTCTCCACTAAAATACGCGTTGTTTGCTTCTTGAAACATTGGAATCGTCCAATCCGTTCAAAAGTTATGATGTTTTAAAGACTCGCATGAAAATTCCTGCATATATTTCTGGCCGGAAATTATATTTTCGGTAAGGAATTTTTTTCTCGAAACTGAGTAGGATTTCGGGGGTATGTCTATTGACCAAAAAAGCTTGTAATTAACCCCGGTAATTAAATATAATTTTTTTATTATGATTTAAAATTTTTTAATTTTGTCGACTTTGTCCATCTACTCGAATTTTTTTCTCGAAAGAGGGTAGGATTTCGGGGTTAGGTCTATTCATAAAAAATGCTTGCAATTGACCCCTCTAACTAAATACAATTTTTTTATTATGATTTAACATTTTTAATTTTGTCGACTTTGTCCACCTACTCGAATTTTTTTCTCGAAAAGGGGTAGGATTTTGGGGTTACGTCTAATAACCAAAAATGCTTGTAATTGACCCCTGTAACTAAATACAATTTTCTCAGAATGATTTGAAATTTGTTAATTTAATTTTTTAATAACTTTATTATTCTTGATTTTCGTCTCATTTTGCCCTCTGGAATCTCCCATTAAAATTTTTCCCACGGGTGGTGGAACACCCCCTGTATTTTTAAGCTTGAATCCCGTCTCAATTTCTGTGTTTTGACTGGAGATACTGAGTCACGCTATGCAACTGAGACCATTTGTGTGCGTGTATGTGTGTATATATATTCATGCGTCTTGTGTTTACTGCCTCGACCGTTGGAACATCGTTCCACGAATCCACTGGTTTTTTTTTCACGGACCTCTTCGTTTTTTACTCGTTGTCCTTTTCTGCGTTCGACGCTCCGATTCGCTTGACTAATTTCCACCATAGATTACGTGCAAGGCGGACGGGGCAGAAGGGAGAGCAAAAAAAAAAAAACATGGTGTCTTCTTCGCTTGTTTATACGTGTCTCCAAGCAGCCACAAAACTGCAAAGTCAAGGCTACTACGGATACCGTGACTAGAAATTAAAACCACGATAATATCCACGCGGCTAAATTTCATTTCAGTTTTTTTCGTGTAATTGTACGCGCAGTTCTCGCGAGGCAATTAGTCTCGCGACAAAATGCCTTTCACGGTTTTAAATTGCATTTCGCTTTGATTCCAATTCCACCCGGAATCGGGACGAGAGCTGCGCTGTCATTGTCACTGGTCAACCCGGCAATTGTGTCATAAATTCCGTATAGCGTTCACGGTCGAGATCCCTAAGCGATTTAATGGTTAGGCTGAAAGTCGGCAATCCATCTCGCGGTTTCACGCGTCGCGGACGCGGTGATGTTTCTTCGCGTTATCTCGTGGTCTCCCTGGCCAGTCGGCCTGTTCCTTTCTTCGCCTACTTTGTACGAAGTCGAATCATCGTGATTGCAGTTAATCGTAACGCGAACAAAAAAGGTATTAGGAAACCTGGGATGCTAATAGAGCCTGGGAGCCGCCGTTAAGATTGCTTTATCGAGAAACGAATCCGTCCATATTTGATATCGTCGAAATGAACGCTCGCTTCGAGAATTCTTCTACTCAAAATCGAGTGTAGGTTATGGTTACGGTTACGTTTTTATAGCTGGATAATTTTCACTCGATGCTCGCTAAATCATGCGTCGATGGCGATACGTGGGACAGAAATGTTGGGTATAAAACCAAACCCAACTCCAATGATCTCTACTTGCAATATATCATAGCCCCGGGAGTAGGAATAGAAAGGTTTCAGCCGTGGATTATAGTGAAATAAAAAGGAGATACGTATACTTTAGAACTTTTTTAAGCGCCTGCGTGCACATAGTTGCGAATGGAGGAGGAATGTCTTTGAACTTGTTCCGTTAAGCTGATAGAGTAGGTAAATAGATTTGGTCGATTATCGTTAGGATGGAAATTCTTGAATCTTTCTGGTCCAGTTACGTTGCTCCATTCTGCGAATTGCATTTCAATCCGAGTGTTACTATGAAATAGTTCCTCTTTGATTCTAACTCGGGTTTTAGGTTAGGTATTTGGGTATTTGGGTTCCTGACGTGATTTTCGTGGATTTTCTAACTTCGTGTCAGGAGAAAGGAATGCATAAATAATTAAAACAGAATAGTCTGTAGTTGTATCTTTTATTATCTTAAAAGTTTCTATACATACTACAAATGTGAATAACAATTGTCTTAAACAAATATTTACGTATACAGTATAAAATACATTGAAAATTGCACAGAAAAGAATCTAACGAAAGTATGAATTAATTAAGTTTAAGCTAAAACTTAAAATGTAATTTATAACTTAACCTAACCTAACTTAAGAGACTGCTGGATATAATTTTGTATCTTCCGAGTCCAAGAGCGTCGTAGGAGTAATCGATCTTCGAGATTTGGTGTCCTCCAATTAAACTCGAGATAGGGCACACCCCTAATTGGTCAGAAATCGTTCAGGGCAGTTAAAATTCATTAACG